TCTTATCTCCTCTAAAAGGGATGGTAGAAAATACAGAAACTGCCCAAGAACTACCAAATATTTTGATAGTTGATGCTATGGCTTTGCTATATCCAGTCATACAACGAGCCATGACATGCCAAGAGGTAGGGAGAGCACTGGTTCACAGAATTGAGAGCATTGCACCAAATAATGTCAGTGAAATACACATTATATTTGACCGGTATCGTGAGAGGTCTGTGAAAAACAATGAACGAGACAAGCGTCATAAGACATCAAAACAGCAGCAAGTTACCCAATACATATGCACAGAGAAAACCAAGATAATGAATCCACAGAATTTCCTGTCAAATTCTACCAACAAAAGAAATCTCACAGAGTACTTGCATTCTTACCTAGCAGCTCATTATTCCTCCCCACATGAGTGCCAGAAAAAACATGTAATAGTGTCCTCATCCTGTGATGTGGTGTCAAATCGAATGAATGATATGAGCAAGATCAAGAATACACATGAAGAAGCTGACACAATACTAATTCTCCATTGTTCTGAGGTGCACCAAAGGATACCGAATGCAAGGATAGCCATATATTCAATTGATACAGATGTTCTAGTTCTAAGTATTAGATTTAACCAGGACATGGGACAGTATCCCCTATTATATATGGGGAGAGAATCTGTAAGAGTAGCAGATATTGCCAGTGCTCTGGGACAGCAGCGTTGCTTAGCATTGCCTGGTTTTCATGCCCTGACTGGATGTGATTCGACGAGCAGGTTTCATGGGACTACTAAGGCAACATGGCTCAAGCTCTTCCTTGATGCTGACAATGACATACTTGATGCCCTCATTGACCTCAGTAAGTGCCGAGACTATCATGAAAGTAATATATTTGATCTTGCAATACTATTTTCGACTTATTCGCCAATTATCATTAACCATGAACTATTATTTTATACATAAACATACATGAACCTATTTTCATAAGTATATTGTACATGCTTTTCAGGTTCACCAAGATGTCTAACGAAAGCCACAATATCAACACTGACACGTTTTGTGTGTTCGGCCTATACAAAGAAGCAAAGCAGTGACATTGGCAAGCTACGCTGGGAAATGTTCTTGGTAAGTTCTTTTTCTCTTTTTTCTCAAGGTGAACTGCCTTGTTAATATTATTTGTAGACTAGATAGATAAGTGTAAACTACATACTAGATCTAATTACAGTGCCAATCATTTCTTCAGAAAAACCAAGCGGAGTCTGAGAAACTTCCCCCTACATATGAAGCTCTGTATCAACACCTCCTACGAGCACAACTTCAAGCCAACACATGGGCAAATAGTACTATGAACCAACCTCTAGATCTTGATCCGGAAAAACAAGGTTGGAAGCTTGAGAATGACTGGTAGGTTATCCATCAATGTAACAATCTGAGAAGAGCAGATATATTATGACGAAATTGCTGCTAATGTTTTTTTTTATAAAACTTTGGCAATCAATTGTTTGCATAATTTTGTTTACTAATGGAATTAAATAGCAATAATAAACCTGTATATTCCATATATTGTTTACAGTTATGCACCAGTAGTGACAAACCTTAAGCCAGCACCAGATGCAGTGCTTGAACTCATCAAATGTGGATGTTCACCTGGCAAGTGCAAAGACAATAGATGCCAGTGCAGAAAAGTTGGATCCGGACTAGTTTGTACTGAACTATGTGGATGCTGTGGGGACTGTGAAAATACAGAAATATTGGGTGACATAAATGAAGAATCCAATGACTGAATTTACATATACAAATTTATTAAAGCCTTGCATATTATAACCCAATGATGGACTAAACCAACACTACTGCTGTGAAGAGGAGATGAAAAGTAATAAGACTATGAGGTGTATACATATGTATAGTGTATTTGAGTAATTTGGTAAAGAATTAAAACAATTGAAATATGAGATTACTTTACAATACCAGTATGAGAAATACAAAAGGCTAATAATATGATGTCACAATAGCAAAAAATCAGTAGTCAATAAAATGTTCTAACTTTCCATTATACTTTAAAAATTACAATTAAAACTGAAAAAAGTTTTACCAATGTCAGAATGAATTTCTATTTTTATGCCTCTTTCTGTGCTTACAGGTCTGGTTGCTTTGGAAACCATTGCAACCAGAAAGTTTTCCAATTACTGATGTGTCCATATCTGAATTTCTTAACCAAAGACATCATTGAAACAAATATAGTAAAATTAGCACAGTAACAAGCATTTACTTTGTTGAAATACAATTATTTTCATGGGATGAAAAGGAAAACTAAAATGTGAATTTATTTGAGTTTGAAAAAGAGCCCAATTCGAGCTATCATGAGTCATGACATCACAATGGCGAACAAATCGATTGTTTAAACGTAATTCCAAGCTTCCTTATTTTTCTTTAATTTCTAGTAATGAGCAGGAAAATGATAAAAACTCTACAATGTACTGCTTCCTCATGTATTTTATGTCTGTTTCTGAGCTAAAAGTACGATTTCTATGGACACTGTTGCCCCTAGCAACGACACTTAATTTACAGACTGCAACATCAACAACTCCTACTAAATAAAATGCACAACTGCCAATTTGAAACAAAACTTGCATAAGATGAGGAAACATTTCAAATAAAAATATATCATAAATTAGTAATTCAAAAAATTGTGAATGTTATGTTATGTTACAACCCGCTTTTCAGATTAATTAGTAATTATAATTAATTAATTAATTAATAATTTATATAAATTAATGTAATAATAATCCAAGTGTCTACAGGTATGGGTAATACAATTATCTTGATGTAAGATCATCTGTCTAGAACTTAACATAACCTAAATGATTTATGGCAATAGAATGTACTGTTTCACCTGCAACAGGTTGGAACTGGTTATGTATTTATAGTAACAAAACATGATTTTCTGTCAAAAATATAATATTGATGTTTATTATTATCCAATCAAAATCTAAATACAATTTCAAATATCTGCAAGCCAAGCGTAACTTAAGCCCAAATTATAGCAAGCATAAGCAATATTTTGACAGATTGATCAATGTAGCTCTACCTGTATATAAACAAGTGCCGAATTGCAGTAAAAACATTCGGAAATTGGAATCAATCAAAAGCTTACAAAATTACGGAAGGAAACAGTAACAAAATGGACTTAGAAAATATTCGCTACTTTTGGACTTAGGATATTTCAACAACATTTTGGACTTAGAAAATATTTGACTACAACTCGGACTTAGGCACTTGGAATCAGGAACAAAGGAACGGAAAATAAAATCGTAGGAACACAACACCTGCTGCGTTAGTTCATTAATAGCCGCGACCTGTGAGTACCAGAGACCCACAAGATCCTGGAAACAGCCCTAAGTGATTATCGGTCACGCGTCGCCGGTCACAGTTATTTAGATCTATGAAATTGCACTATTGTAGTGGCCCCCTAGTTTCAATCACCCCTGGAACAGAATGGTTTTATTTTCATGTAAAGTCAGTGCCATAGCTGGAAAGAGCACATCAAAATTAACAAATGTCCCAGACATTTACCTACTTTTGGTATATTGAAGAGGTAAAAAAAGTAATTGGAATGTGGAATTATATGTAAATTAGGAAAAATAACAAAATTTGGGCTATTATATGACATCACAATAGCTCAAAAATCAATTGTTCACCAAATTGTGTTAAATGACAAATTCCCCTATTACTTCCCTTTACTTCACAATAAATATTATGAAAAATGATTATAATTAAAAAAAATCTACAACAACTTTTGTATTTTTAGGCCCGTTGCAAGGTAAATGTGTGGTTGCTATGGAAATGGTTGCCCCTAGCAACAACATTCATGTTACAGATTTGGCAACATCAAAATTCTTATTCAGCACCTCAAACTCTATAAAGTACACTATGTTGCCAAGCTGTAACAAAAATTTCCCACGAGACCACTTAACAGCCCGGACTATAAGATGTTATCACAAATATTAATCATAGGATTTTACATAGTGGTAGTGATAGGAGGGGATAGAAATTCACGCAGTGATGTCTTTCAGTACCCTGACAAATATGATACATGCACCTGTCCATGTATTGATATTACTTAAAGGGGTCTTCACTCTTAAACAATAATAAAACCACATTTACAATATTCCTATTTAGGAGTTAAAATATCTCCAACACATAGTAACAATATCTAAAGAGAACAGACAAACCATATGTAATGCAATAAGTTTGTAATCAAAATGATTTAAGCTCTTAAAAACTGCAAAACTGGAAATTTTCGTCGAACTCAAAAGTAACTATTTAAAAAAATAAACTAGGTGCGAGTAGAAATAATCTTGATTAACGTCATTAAAAATTAAAAATTTGGTCAAACTGATGTCATATTTGGAATCTACATATAAAATTACATCTAGAAATGTGGTTTTGAAAAGAGTTTATTAACTTTGAAAATTTAATTTTCTTTGAAAATGTGACTTCTAGGTCGGGGAGATTCCACATAGACCCCATGTTGTAAAATCACAAAAAGTGAAATATTTTTTCTTGTGTTGGGCAGATAACATTTTCCTTTACTGGTCATATATTTTGACATTTGGTCAGCAGGTATTATGCATCGACTTCGACTGTCATAACTTTGCCCGGCTACCCCGAATCATGTTGAATTTTTACGCCAAAAAGTGATTTATTTTATCCTGTAGCCCAAGCTAGAGAAATAACGAAGGCACAAAAACTAAAAGAATTGACAAAAACTGTTTGACACCCCCCTCCCTGCAGACATTCGGGTTAAAACATCCACAATGCATCGATTCCTGAGATTACAAATCTACAGTAAATCTACAACCCAAATTCAAATCATTTTAAGGTTAAATACACACGAATGAACTATTTACAGTGTATTCTGAAAGCGAATCCGATAAGCTTATTATTTAAGGATGTTCGCTGGAGCTTCACCATTTTTAAATTGTGTTCAACCTTTTTTCATACATAATTTTCTGAGATTCTAACGGGCAACACATAATATTACAACTTTTAAAACCATATATGTTAGTACAGTGCGTTTTTCTGAGCAAAAGTGGGCATGACACTTTCCCATTTGATCACAGACAAAAATCAGATCTTCACCCCAAAACACACTTTGGAGTATTTAACCTTTGCTTAAACTCACTGAAACATCCAGTCATGCTCCTGTATACTAGTATATACTTTACATTCTGTGATGAAAAATTAAGGGTAAGAGCTCATCATTTTCAACTTTGGTCGGTCAGAAGAACCCCCGGTGGACATCCTTAAGCCACAGAAACTGATATTACAAGCAGTTCGAATTCAATCTTTGTATTGAATCCAATCTGGTTCATGGATCGAGTTAAGATCTCGTACACTTGCACCATTTAAGCATTAGCAACTGTAGCATACCTCTGTCTCTTTTTGCAACAGAAAATCAAACGTATAGCGTTCTTATAGCCCCTCCTAAAATACTTGCTGATAATGACGTAACACAAACAATCTAATCCCGGCTGCATGTGACCAAGTAAAGAAGCAAACGCCCAAAAATCCCTCCCATAATTCATGATATGATGTGTCACAAAGGCAACTAAGGCAGGTGACCATATAAACGAGGAGAGGAAAATGGCCGCTAGCAACCGTCCACTCATTGCTATATCATCATGTTCCTGTCGGAGTCCTTCTGTTATGTCGTCCGTATTGTCATTTTTTTCTTTTCCTTTCCTATCACTCCCAATAACATTCATTAATGATATATTGGGAGCTATCGCGGTCAACTGAAAAAAATAATTACAGTTTTAATCTAAAATAATATGAACCGTAATAGACTAGAAGCGAGTAGAAACTTTTTTTCCAATAGAAAAGGAAAACCTATTTACGCTTAGTACAATGTACAAGTAGGCTGAGTTAAAATCAACTAGACGATGTAATTAAGATCTAACTTACCTGCCGTCTCTTTGCTTTTATTCTGAACTGTGCAACGATGATAGACATGAAAGAAAGAATGACAGACAAAGACATAACTGCAGCAAGGAACATATTAGGTTGCATATTATCTAGGTCGGATAGGCAAAACATGGTCTCTGGGTCAAATTCCATCCCACCCCACCATATAAACATTGGTAGCACAGTGAGTAGGGCAATACACCAGGGTATAAATGAAAAGATTGGCGTGGTTCTCCAAGTAAAAATGCGCTTGTATTGCTTTGGAGAGCAAACTAATATCATCCTAAAAACAAGGAAACACCGTATTTAGTATTGACCTCATAAAGGTAGTATTAGGTAAAATGGCTACCTTGTCTAAAAGAAATGTCAAAGTTTTTACTCTAACACCCCAGTCACATTTGTCGCACGGCGGCCGCAAGTCGACCGCAGAACAATTAAATCGGTGAATTTCTGCGGCGAGCGTAGAAAAACTACGCTCGCCTTGCGGCCTCCGTACGGCGAATGCAGATTTTTACAGGCCGCAGGGAAGGCGTAGAAATTATAACTCGGAGTTATAATATTTGTTCATTTCTGAGGTTCCCGTAGAAATCAAGTGGCTCAACAAGATTAAATCATTATTTGTCAATGTTTCACGATCACTTTTCATTTGATATTACATCCTAGCACTTTGAATAACATTTATAAATTGTCCTGATGTAAATAAAATGAAAACAACTATTATTTATCAATAGAAATTTAAAATTCACCGTGCGGCTGCCGTGAGAAATGTGACTGCAAAAGTATGAGAGCGCAGAAATTCTGCGGCGAGCGTAGAAAAGCTACTGGCCGCAGAAATGATAGACCGCAAGGTCGCCGTAGGAAATGTGACTGGGGTGTAAGCGACGTTTTTGAATTTTTATTTTAATTCCCGAGTTAGACATTCTAAATAACTATGTCACACTCCAGACCTCTAAGATATAGTCAAGCGTCTAATCATCGTTTAGTAAATCTACCATTAGCATAATCCCGGAGATACATTAAAGAAACATGTTAGATATACTAACTTACCGGTTTACTGCTAGCCCAGTTATACACCAAAATGCACATGAGCAAGCTGAGAAACAAACTGTTCCTAGAAATTCACATAATCTCCATCTGTGGTAATAATACAACTCCCCTTGCACTACACCTACAAAAACAGATTTATGTCACCAAACGCTCATTTTAAAGAGTTTGGCCTAATGATTAGAAACTATTCAAGGATAAGGCGAAGGTCTGGTGAGACCAATTAAAATTCTCCTTTATGAAAAACGGGAGAATAAAATGCACATACGACCAGTTGTTGATAAACTATGAGTAGCAAACCACCTTTACTTTTGACATAATGCCTATAGTATTTTTGGAACTACACACTCAATGAGCCTTATCACGAAGAATATTAATGGACCTCACAGTGGTCACAGTTTTTTACAAAAACGATTCATCCAAGCGCACAAAAATACTAAAGTTTGTTGCAATGACACTTTGCAACACAAGGGCTTGTTCTTTTCATGATACCTAGGGGAAAAGCAAGATTTTCACATGAAATAACTGTGGTTAATAATAATATAGTAAAGTCTCTCGTTTGCCATATTCGAAGCTTCAAAATTAGCCATAGAGCACGTATGTGATTGCAAATAATTTCAGACAATTCTAACTAAAATATTGAATATTTTCTGATCATGAACATGGTTGTATCTTTTAGACCAATCTGTCATTTTCAAGAAAAGTGGGTATAATTATTAAGTCAATCAGACCTTAGTGATATTAAAGTGACAATGGACCAATCAACTTACTTTTTCAAAAAAGTTGACCAGATTTTCACCAAACACGCAACCTTTTATTGTATTGTTGAATGCATAATTAGAATGTGTTTTGAGATATGTTCTATTTACTAAAAGGATTGTTTGCTCCAGGGACTTAAACAAATTCTGAATTTGAATGACCAAAATGTACTGAAACAAATTGATAGCATGCGATTTTTCAATGGAGATATAACATATTGAACACTAATCATACGGCAATTCAGTTTTTCTTTGAAGAGCTATTTGATACATCTAAATAAAGAATAGTAATGCATAAAACATTGTTAAGAATGATTGCATTTTTGGTGCAAATGAGGTCAAAATCTTTGAAAAAGTGTGTCGATGGGTTGATTGCTAGTTTAATATTTCCAAGTCCGTTTGACTTGATAATTGAAGTATGTAATTCTCCTTTAGATGGATTTGAAGGGGTCTAAAATATATACCTGTTTTAATGGTCAAAAAATAGTCTTAATTCAGTATATATATATAAATGACTGAAATGTTTGCGATAACCTACGTGAACCTTTAAGAAAGGATTGAGGAAAGGAAGAGGTAAATCGTTCTCTAGTAGTACTATTTTGTAAAATTAAACGGCACTTTAAAGTGAAAGATAACCTGCTATGTTAAGAGGCAGCACACATCCAGCCACTAATATATCAGCAGCAGCCAATGATACAATAAACATATTTTCAGGAACTCGTAAAACCTATAATTAAAGATTATAGCACTAATGCATTACTATACTATAACTGGTGGACGTGAATGATAGATAGTTGTGTCCATGCAATCAAAATAAAATTGTTTTACTCTGCCTTGCAACCCAGTTGCTGCCCTGGTGTGGTAAAGATAACCAATCATCTTGAAGCCCTGGAATCAATGCATTGTGTACTGAATCATTCCATTAATGTTTGTTTTCAAATCATTGAATGACCGGGAGCGAGGATGCAAAGTTTAGGAAACAACGTCTGTGTGGAATGATCGGCCACAATACATTGAATTGTGGTCTTAAATTACTCCTGCAAGAGTTAAACTTTGTCAATGCTGACAACAATCTCATCACCTTGACGACCATTCAACACTTACCATTTGACATGCATAAGCACCAAGCTTGTTATTTCCTATAATAATATTAATAGATTTTGCCCAACATTGAATTTGATCCACTTACTGTTTCAATACTAAGAGATTATGACCCCGTGCAGAGTGTTAGTTATATCATGCAATGCATATGCAATAACATGTTCGGACTGGCTGAAGTTTGGCACACCTTGCCAAGCTATGTTTGAATCCGCGTCTTAACACTAGAAACGGGTGCTACATTTGTAGTAAGTCTATGTCAACACCACATGCAGACCTATACACATGGTTTGCACATATTACCACGTAAAACATAAGCAAGGGCTTGGTCTCTGTTGGCGTTTTAAAGTGCGAATTTGGTAATTTCCACTTATTTATCTTTACACAAATAGATTCAATGGGTATTGGTTGATAGAAACACAACAGACTCCCATCTTCATCTGATTGTCTTTCAGATTTAAAATAAGATTTCCCGGAAAAAACATGACGTCACGATCAGAACCGGTTATGGATCTAAATTGGCAATGCGTTATGCAACTCGAATGTAAATTCAAAAGCGTTCATGTTATACTGTGTTCAGGTTGACCACCTCATGGTTCAATGATGTCTTTTGGTTCTAAGATTTTAGACAGCATTGAGTTATGTAACAGGATCAACTCAACATGTATTGTATTCTGACTGACCAGAACGTAATTCTGCATGACTAACTTTGTGAAAACGCACCACAGGGTCGGGAGCTCTGATTGAGGTATTATATTTTTCGCTCATCGGAGGAAAAATCGTGACTCCAAAGTAGTCACAGTTGAACCATTTCCACATTGCATTGAATGCAGTGGCAATCAATTACACTGACACTTTATAAGCACGTTCGGATATCATAAACTCCAGCAACATGTTCAAAACCTGATCGTGATGTCATGATTGGCACTTGACATTGGGTTCCCGATTGTGAACATCAAATTTCACATTTATAGAAACATTTACAAGAACGGTACATGATTTGACTTTTTAAGTTTTTTTTAATAATAAATACTCTTTATTTTTTTCACGGCGTAATCGCCCAGAGAGGGCATTTCTATTGCCGCTTTAAATGAATTTAAATTACAATATAATTACATTTAGTCATAGTTAGTATAAGAAAAGTATAGAATTTAGATACAATCTGTTTTTCTACCTGCCTGTACATCCGTTGCTGCCCTGAATTTTAATTACTGATATCGATTGTTTAATTATGTTTAATGAAATTTAAAACTGCCTCTAAGATTTGGTAATTGTTTTTGTTTGTCAGATCCTTGTCGCCAAAAAGTAGGTCTTATTTTTTAATGTTTTGTATTTAGTTACATCTACGTTTAGTTCACGTTTAACCACCGCTAGCGCATTTGTTCACAATATGGATCGTTAATGAAAGAGAAATTATGGTAAAAAAGATCGGATTTAAAATATCGATTTACTCTTATCTTATTTAGTACAGTTTCTTCTTTTCTATCAAGATTCTGTATGTAGGAGGTTGAAATTGTAGGTTCGATGTTCTTTAGTGAGGTGATCGTTTAGTTGTTTTTTTGAAAAGTGAGAAGCTGTTCGTTTCCTTATGGTTATGCTTAAGTTGATTTAATACTTTTTGAACTTTACCTTTTAGATATTCAATATGGGTTTTGAAAGTTAACTTTTCATCAAGAATTAGAACGAGGTGCTTATGACGTTTAATTTAATTTATTGGAGTGTCGACGTTGAAAATAAAGTTTGGATTCGTTCTCTCAATTGGTCTATTTGTTTTAAAGATCTATTCGTGACATTTTGTGGTACGAAAGTTAGTCCCCATTTCTGGGACCACATTTGGATATGAATTTTAAAGAGGCACTATTTGTAAAAAGGGGGCAGGGCGCCATTGGAGGGTGGCACAAGTCAAATTTTATATTTCAAAAATTTTATTCTTATATGAAAGTATGACCATTGGGAAGCCAAAATATATAATTTTTTCTCCTAACAGATGATTGGTTAGTGTGTGACATGGTTGCTAAGCAACCCATGTTTGTTGTCTGTTTACAACTTAGAAAATGCACCAAAATTGGTGAAAAAAGACATATTTCCAGCTTATGGTATGCTAAGAAGATAATCCAAAACCAGTTTATAACTATTTTATTTGTATATGGGACATGTTGAAGAGTTCATATGTATTGTTTATTATGACGTCACAATGGTTGCCATGGTTACGGAGCCTTTTCTGGAACATGGGTCAATTAAGAGACGAAATGGCAGCCATCTTTGGACCCAGTTTGTTTAATAAGCCAGATGTCCCATGTAGAGTGGGTATTACTGTTGGAAAGAGGAGCATTAGAGCTTTCATAATCTGCAATAAAATAACTGGGATTTTGGGTTTTCAAGATTTTACAAGCCTTTTACTTTTAACTTTTTTTTCGATGTTTTCGGCCATTTCTTCAAGGTTTTCGTGATTTTAGTTGTAAACATGAGGGTCAATATAGAGATGAAATGGCAACCATCTTTGGATCCAATTTGCCAGAAAAGCCAGATGTCCCATGTACAGTGAGTATTACTGTTGGAAAGAGGAGCATTAGGGCCTTCATAATCTGCAATAAAATAACTGGGATTTTGAGAATTCAAGATTTTATGTGCTTTTTACTTTTCCCATTTTTTCGCTATTTTGGAGTATTTTTCAACTTTTTCATGATTTTAAGTTGCAAACATGATATTGTTTAGATGTAGCAATGATTATCATCTTATATCTAAATCTGCCACATATGATATATGGAGAATAAGGATGACATTTCTGGCACAATAAACCCTATTGGCCAAAATGGAAGGATGTTAGGTCAATATAATTGTCTTATAATTTTTCATTGTTCAAATCATGGGCTCTCGATTATATTTTTTATTAAAAAATGTGTGTTATCAAGCAGGATTATTAATTTAAACTTCAAATGGATTATAATCATTGAATTGATGGATGAAGTAGTTACAAGGCTTCTTTTAACCAATCTCATGTTTTATTGGCTAATACTAAGCTACCCCTACCCCATTTTCCAAAATATAAATTTTCAACGTAATTGGCAATTTAAGTAAAGTAGCACATAAGATTAGAGTTATATCATGTATGGAGTATTAAGACATGAAATGTATTTGATTGACTAGATTAAGCCAGCCTGGAATTGACCAAAAAACCTCTAGACATGAAAAATTGATATGTGACAGGTTCTGAATCAGGCTCAAAAGTGCTGAGTCGGCACATTTTATCATTTCAAGTCAGAGTTTCAATTTACAAGAAATTTTAAGTATAAGAAGAAAAAATATCCACACCTCTATTTTTAGTTATTGCGTATTATATCCATCATGATAAACCATGACATCTCAAACCTTCTCAGCCCTAAGGTGAAACAGAAAGAGGCTATGAGTATTACATAGCAATACAACACAATTGATGTTTGGAAAACATCCGCAAACTGTTGGCGCAAACTGTACATGATATACTTGGTATGCAGTTCATTTCCCATCTTTCTGACCGTTTTATATATATATATACATGTAAGTAAAAATAAGAAGAACTAATAAAATACGTTTGAAAATCTAAACATGTTTCTTTATTCCTCAGTAGATTTTTCAAAAATGAGAACAAGAGGTATACAGGTAAGTATGACGTAATATTAATATAATTAATTAAACGTCATGGAAACCAATAAACAATTTATTTATATATATAGCACTCTAATCTGATTGTAAAATTTCCAGGTTATGGATGGAATAAGTGGGGTTATAGGGGCAAAATATAAGTCTTCTACTAAAAGGAAACATTTGTTACTAGCTTATTCATCGAAAGAGGGGGAAAAGCCCCAGGGTTCAAAGATGACCACTTCTATAATGTAAATCTGCATTGAGATGAACTATCGTCCTGATTTGTCCAAATCAACAAACATTAATATTATTATCGAATAATATTATTACTTGTTATGTTCCAATACTTCACCAATTAATTATCTTACTTATACATAACCTTAAACCTTTTAGCACACAATATACGCTCTGCGTCAAATTGTAATAATATGTTTTGTAAATAATTTGAATGGAACAATAAACAATAAAACAATATAATTTCTGGCGTGTTAACCAATATCATAGCTTGTTATTTCACATCATGGTGAAGAAAGATGTAAGGAATATGCTTACATTGATTAAAACATCAACTGGTGAGAATTTGCGCAAACAAAGGTGGTACACAAGAGACATAATATGTCTGTTATTGCTAAAGCTCCGGGGGTTTCCCTCCTCGGGTTTCCCTCCTCTCTTCTTAGGCAATGTCACTAATGTACAGGATAACACAAAAAATACCACCAACTAATTTTGGAATAACTTTCTGAATAATTAAGGAATCTATGGGCTTTTTGTATAGATAAAGTGTTCAATGGAAAAATGATTTTTAGAATTATCATGTTTTCAGTCCTGGTATGCTCTCAGTGAAATCATCAAAAATGTTCAAAAATACAATTTACTTAAAGGAAGAGGTGCGTTTTTGGCAAATACCCCTATGGTCAAAATGAATCATTCTTCATTGCTTTGGCACACATTGGCTGAGATAGGTTGTATTGACTTACATGGGGCTGTGCATCATTGACTTAAAGG